GCACCACATAATATAAAATATAATTAATAATTATTTCCCGCACCTATAGTAATTTTAATTTTCCGAGCATTTATGGAAAAGATTTAAATTAAATTTCTACATGAAAATCGAAATAATGTCATGTTTATTTTATCTCATCGTCTAAATAAATATTCGATTAAAACGAAAAATGAATATATATTAGTTATTGAAGTCAGAAACGAACGATGCGAGAAAAAAGCGTTTTCGAATCTACCAGAATAGGGTAAAATGTACAGTCTAAATGTGTGGTAATACGAACTTTGAAACCCAGAATTTCCGATAAACCGTTACCGGATGAACAGAAAATTATCAAATGATTCGTTTAAATACTGTATATTTAGGTTTTATTAACCAGCATTATGCTTTTTTTTACCAGAAATATAACTACTACACAGTACGGTAATTTTACCAGAATTTATTTCGATGTGTAGTTTTCCTGACATTTCTACCATAAATAACCAATTCGCTTTTTTTTTCTTCCAATTTTCAATTAGTTTAAATAACTATAAGTGTATCAAAGTGTGTGATAAGTTTTAGAAATTTGGTTGAAAACTTTTAAATAATTATTTCTTAAATTGCGTTTAATAATATATATTGTTTAAAGCAAGAAGATCTTACAAATTCTGCAGGAAACAAAATTTTTATTAAAATTTTTTTCAACCGAGATTCAATGAAAAGGTTTCTTAAAAGAAAATTGTCCACAAGTCCACTTTTTTTAATCAGATTCCATTTAACGTGCTTGGGATTCTAAGAATACTTATAAGGTTGTTATACTCAAACTCGTTTAATAATTGGAAAGTATCTAGTCTACTTTTTTCCTCACATTGCACGTAGAGTGAAAGTGATTCTAAGAATACTTGTAAGGATTTTTATTCTCAAACTCGTTTAATAATTGGAAACCACGAAATCCACTTTTCTTACTCACATTCGACTATCATGCTAGTGATTCTAAGAATACTTGTAAGGTTTTTATACTCAAACTCGTTTAATAATTGGAAAGCACCAAGTCCACTATTTTTAATCAGATTCCATTCAACGTGCTTGTGATCCTAAGAATACTTATAAGGTTTTTATATTCAAACTCGTTTCATAATTGGAAAGCACCAAGTCCACTATTTTTAATCAGATTCCATTTAACGTGCTTGTGATCCTAAGAATACTTATAAGGTTTTTATACTCAAACTCATTTAATAATTGGAAAGCACCAAGTCCACTATTTTTAATCAGATTCCATTCAACGTGCTTGTGATTCTAAGAATACTTGTAAGGTTTTTATATTCAAACTCGTTTAATAATTGGAAAGCACCAAGTCCACTATTTTTAATCAGATTCCATTTAACGTGCTTGTGATCCTAAGAATACTTATAAGGTTTTTATACTCAAACTCGTTTATTAATTGGAAAGTATCTAGTCTACTTTTTTCCTCATATTGCACGTAGTGTGAAAGTGATTCTAAGAATACTTGTCAGGATTTTTATTCTCAAAGTCGCTTAATAATTGGAAACCACGAAGTTCACTTTTCTTCCCCACATTCCACTATCATACTAGTGATTCTAAGAATACTTGTAAGGTATTTTATACTCAAGCTCGCTTAATAATTGGAAAGCATCAAGTCCACTTTTTTTAATCAGATTCCATTTAACGTGCTTGTGATCCTAAGAATACTTATAAGGTTTTCATATTCAAACTCGTTTAATAATTGGAAACTATCTAATCTACTTTTTTTTCCTCATATTCTATTTAACGTGCTAGTGATTCTAAGAATACTTGTAAGGTTTTTATGCTCAAACTCGTTTAATAATTGTAAATTATCAAGTCTACTTTTTCCCTCACATTGGGCGTAGTGTGAAAGTGATTCTAAGAATACTTGAAAGGATTTTTATTCTCAAATTCGTTTGATAATTGGAAACCACGAAGTCCACTTTCCTCCTCACATTCCACAATCATGCTAGTGATTCTAAGAATACTTGTAAGGTTTTTATACTCAAACTCGTTTAATAATTGGAAAGCACCAAGTCCACTATTTTTTCTCACATTCCAGGCAACGTGCTAGTGATTCTAAGAATACTTGTAGAATTTGAACTGCTCAAAACGTTTCAAAAAACCCAAAAAATATTTTAATTTACTCCATTAAAATTTAGATAAACCCCCAATACTTGAGGCGGTTAGTCTTGAAAACTATTATTCACCTTCTTGAACACGTCACAAATAAAGACAAAATGCTTCAAATAGTTTCAAGGGCAATGATCTAAAAAATATTCTGATCCTTGTTTATTAAAGTGTAGCTATGTTAATTCATCAACAGGGATTAAAATAACGTCACAATTTCAGTCAAAACAGACTTAACTTTTTTTTTATGTATGTCTTATTTTAGAAAAGAAAATATTTAATGATTCACCTTTTTGTCTCACCTAAAAAAATCTAAGAAGGATTAAATATGTTTACAATATTTTACTTACGTTTTCTCACTTTTAAACAGTGATTTGAGTTAGCGTCTCCAAAACTCTGATATATTCTTCTATCCAGTACATCGACATCGAAACAAAGGCGGAATTTTCGGCAATTATTTAAAAAAAAAATTCTTGTATGACATGTTTTTAGCAGATTCAAAACAAAGTACATTTATAACCAAAATGAAATAGTAAAATGAATAAATAAATAATATCCAAAAATTCTATTTCATGCTCAACCGAATTTTAATAAAACCAGGAAATGTTTTTAAAAAGTTTTAGAATTCGTGACAAAATGTTTCTGAAATATAATTGGAACGTTTTATGCTGCATAGAATATAATATTTATTGCACTATAATAATATTCATTGATCAATATTTTAAAATATATATATTTTGGAAAATATAT